GCTCCACATCTGCGCTTGCACTGAGCACTCTTTGCCCTTCACGCTGTTTATGTAGAGAGCCTGTTAAACAAATTTTAACCAATATTTGCATTTAAAATAGGAAAATCCTTGCTTTTTAAAATTTGATGTATGATAATCAGGATATACGACACATGATAAGGCTTCCTGGAAGCCTTCTTTTTTACCAAGTCTTCTAAAGTCCTTGTCACTCTTTAAAACTGATAAAAGTTCGAAGATTAAGTTTGTGAGTCTCACCGGAGTTCTTTATGAAACAATTAAAAGCTGAAGAGCTTTTATCTAGCAGAAATTCTAGTTTGCGGAAATAAAATCAGAAATGTTTCAAAATCATAGCAAATTGAAAAATGGTGGCGTGACTGGGCTTTAGTGACCCTAGGAAAACAGAGTGTGCTGCTGCTGCTGCTGCTTTTGTTTTTTTTTTTTTTTTCCAGGACAGGATTTCTCTGTGTGACAGTCCCGGCTATCCTGGAACTTGCTTTGTAGACCAGGCTGGCCTCAGACTCACAGAACTACTCTTGCCTCTGTCTCCCTAGTGCTGGGATTAATTTCATGTGCCACCACGCCCAGCTGCTAGTTTTAAATACAGATTTCCAACTGGTTTTCTCCTAGTAAAACAAGATTTCTGTTCTGTGTTTATATTATTTTAAAAATAATTCCCAGATTTACTGTTTGTTTCAATTCGTTTATCTCTGCATACGCCAAATTAGAAGAAAGAAACGTACAAAAAATTCCTTTTTAAGAGTGTTGCTTCCACAGGTTATAGAAAATTACGTTGGGGAAATAAGACCAACTTTTGATTGTCAGCAATGAAGAAATGTCATTGTGTATGTGTTTAATGTTAAGTGTCTTTAAAGGTCGCTTTCTTTCAGGCGTTTGGCAAAGGTATAAATTAGACACTAGTTTGTGGAAGCTGGGGATGCAGCTGGATGCTGAGGTTTCCTTGGAATTGTGTTGGTAGTGTTACCTGTACCATATGAATCGTCAGTGTTCATGGTTTGTGCTGCAGGGCTGTGTCCCTGCTTGAAATGCTATCTCCAGAGTGATCTCTGTAGGGTTCAGCAGATGCTTCTGCAGATCCCAGTGCCAGGGAGAGGGGAAGATTTCATTCATTCATTCATTCATTCATTCATTCATTCATTCATACATACATTCATCCATACATAATTCATTCATACATTCAAGGATAGTAGTTTGCGTCTGTGCTCAATGTGAAGTGGCAAACTTTATACCTTTATTCAAATAACACTGATCAAGCCCCAATCGTAGAGCTGGGAGCAAAAAAAAGGATGCTTTCCATTTTGTCCATACAAATGATACACAGTTTTAGATTGAAACTCTGAATCATAAAATCAAAATTTTTAGTGGTACAACAGTTGCATGGTTGCATTGTTTAAATCATTAGTTAGTCTTTGTAGCACCATTTTTTTTTGACACAATGATCTGCTATTGATAGCCATGCAACTTCCTCTTCAGATAAATTCCTGCCCCTCTTCCTGATGTGGGGACAGTTAGTAAATAAATGTAATAGCCTCGTATTTGACTATAAGGTTTTTAAAGTTTTCCATGTGCTGGAGATGTAGCTCAGAGGTTAAGTGGAGCCAGTCCTGATCCCCAGAACTGCCAGTAACCCCCTACCCTTGACCCAGTTCTATTCAGCAAAAATCATAAGAGTTTGTTTTTTGAGAAAATTTATGTCCACGAAAACACTTGGTCAGAATTTATGCTAACTTGATATTATTTTGAAAAGAACATAGGCAAACATGGCATCACAAAACTTTGCTCCCTGTCACCTACAAAAGGGCCCAGTGCAAACACTAATGAAAGCCTGAAATTGTGTGGCAATGGTGACCGTTCTCCATAGCTGATTTCCGGTGGCCAGGTCTGTGAGCTTTCAAAGAAAATATGCAAAGTGACATCACCTTCAACTGTATGTGCTTAAAATAGATTACTTCATTTTAAATTATGTATCTGTATGTGGGTCTGTGTGGGATTGTGCGCATAAATGCCAGTGTCCAGGAGGCCAAAAGAATCCCCTGGAGCTGGTCCCATGTGGCTCTGGGAACTGAACTTAGGGTGTTTGCAGGAGCAGCAAGTGCACAGTCCTCTCTCCAGTTCTGTTGTATGCGCCTGAACAGGTTCTTTCAATCATGAGATTGTTGTATTATAAGGTGAAAACAATCAAGGGGAAAAAAGGCTAACCTTTTGTGAAATATTTTAAAGTCTTTTGCTGATTTTATAGTTAAAAAATGTGTTTCTTTTGTTCTTCATTGTCTTATAGGAATACTCACTGTCAAAGCAACTTCATATCTATAATTATTGAGAAATAAAAAAGTATCAAAACCTATAATTGAAGCTTCAAAGGAAAGTCAGATTCTTTCAGGCTTTTTGATTTTTAACATGATTTGTGATAAATGGTTTGCTTTAAATAAATGTTTGAATAAATTTTCTCCCGAAAGCATAACTCTTGTAGTTTTCTGTAACACACTGTGGGACCTTTTGTCAGGGGAGAGAAACTCATTCCTAGTGTCCACCACTCAGGTTTAAATGCTTACGTGCAGCCCCGCAGCGCCACCTTCTGGTCATTGGACTCACATCGTGCTTACAAAGATGTTTCAGGTGCTAGTTGGACTCACTGGGCACATGCAGTTTCAGCTACCTGCTCTGAGTTATCTTTGCTGCTAATGCTAGCTATCAGTTCAGAAAGTCTTTGCTGTGTAGCTAACAGAGCTCTGAGGAGTGCTTTCTGATATATAACAAAATATGCCTGATAAAGATTATTATTAAAGAAAATGATAAACCAAATTCAAGCCTTGCTTAAACTTCAGATAATATAATATCAAACCATTTGAGTTAAAGTTATTAAAATACCACTTATAGAGAAACAAATTTTCTGAGGATCCACTTAATCAATGATAATTGTAATATTTTAGGAATATAGATAGTTTATTTACATAAAACCTGGAAATGTTTCCTTCTTAATTATAAACATATGACCTCATAGCCTATAAAAGTAAAATGCAAAATATATTTATAAAATAAGAGCATTTTGTGAAATTTTTAATATCCGTGTTTGGTACATCAGAGAATTTGTGTTTTGATATTTCTTGAATTCTATGATTAATAACAGTGAAGACTATAAACTACAATGTAAAATGTCATAATTCGCGAAAAGTTCCATACAGATTTTTCTATTTAATGCGGAAAGAAATCAAACATGCGGTGTTTTATCCTACCTGTCTTAATTCCTTTTGCTGTTGCCATTACAAAATGCCATGTATAGGCAGCTGTGAGAGGCAAAGGTTTCCTCCTGCTCACTTGGACTTACAGTCCATGGTGGCGAGGCTTAGGCAGCAAAGTCTGTCCACAGTCAAGAAACACCCTGTACAATCTAGGACCCGACTTAGAGACAGTGCTGGCCCTGTCAGCATGGGTCTTCCCATCTCTGTTAATCCAGTCAGCATTTCCCTCACAGGTGTGGTGGAGACTCACCTACAAGATCGTTCCAGATCCGGACAGTTATTAGTGACACCACATTTAAACTCTACATCATATGCCCTTTAATTTTTTTTTAACCTTCTGGATTTTTCAATGTCTTGTTTTATATATAATATATTTCAAAGTAGGAGTAAAGGGACAGCAGTTGGCAGAGTCATCAGAACATAGTCCTCAATTATTGTATCCCACAAAAAATTTGTCTAAGTGACATAATTTCCTTTCTATAAAAACCCACTGGTAGTAGGTAGCCAGGTTTAGTGATGCACAGTAGCAAGGACCCGTGAAAAAGGGTCCTGTTCCTTCTCACTGCACTCTCTGAATAGCAAGTGGAGCTATATTTAGTTGTTATTGGCTTATTTTCAGCCCCAGTCAGCCAGAATCTAAACTCCTCCAGAACAGTGCACATAGGATTGCCCAGTAAATGCTTATCAGATGTTCCTGAGTAGCTATCATCTTATTCTCGTTGAAATATTATTTTAATTTCTAAAATTTTTTCTTTAGAACATGAAAATATCTTGTCTTTAAATTATAAACTATAAGGAATATAGCTCCTAGTGAGTGGTAACGTCAGTCCCTCTTATCTTGAGTGAGTCATCAGGGTCCAGTGCCGTGGGGTTGGAGAGATAAAATACTCAGTTCTTACTTCTGAGGCTGTGTTGCTGAGACTGGCAGCAAACTGCTGATCCTCCTGCCACTGCCTCCTGAGTACTTCACGACTGGAAGCAGACTTTAGCTGCGAGAATATTAGCAACATGAGGTTAGAAGGTTAATTTGGTGGCGGGCACCAGGAGAGAAAATGGAGAATCAAATCCTGTATTCCAAAGAGATAGCCAGCCAGCGGAAGCCAGTATGAGCTGTAGCGTTTATGTCGTAAATACACACGTGTGGAGCAGTAAGAGAAGCAAGAGTCGGAAAGCCGGTAGTTTCCTTTCTAACCCCGGATCTTGTTTTGCAAAAGTTGACTTCTTGATGTCTACATTTGTACTATGGCCACACCTAATTTTGCTGCATTCATTCTTTCATAAAACAAAATTATTTATTTTACAGCTTGTCGACACCCCTCCCACCCCCACCTCAGTCCTCCATTTTTGTTTAGTAAAGGACGGGTCTCCCGTGAGCATCAGCAAAGCATGCATATTAGGTTGCTGTATTCACTATTAGATCGTGCACTGACCCCACCACATTGACTCTTAGAACTTTGTATTAAGCTAGAATGGCGGACCGAGTTCTCTGCATGTGTCATAATGGAAATAATGTTGTAAATCTGTTTAGGGTTGTACATAACTTGGTGGCAGAACTCTTAAATGAGGCTCTGAGCTCAATCCTCAGGATCATAAGAAATTTTTTAAAAAGCGAAAGCTATTTGGAGAAAATTTTATTTCAATTCTGTATGTGAAAGAGTGGAACAGTTGAGCAGTAAATAGCCTTGAAGAAACTCTATATTACATCAAAGCCCATGGTAATAGCTAATGTCATCTCTCTTCCAGGTAACCCAGGCCCGCACAGCCCCATGCTGGACCTTGATAACGACGTTCGTCCCTCAGTGTTGGGCCATCTCAGCCAGACTGCGTCACTGAAGAGGGGTAGCAGCTTTCAGTCTGGTCGCGATGACAGTAAGTTATCACCCTTTCTTCTGCATGATCTTCCTGGTCTGTACACTTCCGAAAGGATGTGGTAGAAAAGGCAGGTAGTAAAAAAAGATGAGAGAATATGATACTCTTGAGTTCCCCTGTGCCGCACAGGGCGGGCCCTGGAACTACATTACTTTCACTGCTTTGCACAGGCCTGGATGACTGAGCAACAGTGTTGCAAGGAGGGCCCGCTTGTTTGTCCCTGCCGCCTTGTTAGCTTAGCCCCAAAATAACCACACAGAAACTGTATTAATTAAATCACTGGTTGGCCCGTTAGCTATAACTTCTTATTGGCTAACTCTTACATATTAGTTTAACCCATTTCTATTCATCTGTAAATCACCACGAGTACCAGGCCTACCAGCAAAGTCTCAGCATGTCTACCTCCGGGCGGGTCCTTGGTGTCTCCCTGACTCTGCCTTCTTCCTCCCAGAATTCAGTTCTTTTTTTCTCCACCTACCTACGTTCTGCCCTATGAGGCCAAAGCAGTTTCTTTATTCATTAACCAATACAAGCAACACACAGAGGGGACTCCCACGTCACAACAGTACGCTAAGTTCTTGCAGCCCTTCCAGTACTCCAGAGTCTGCCTGACATCACCGTCCAGCAGCTGTGCCAGCCTTTGCCGCTGCTGTGAATGCTACAACATAACTCACCTAGAAAGCTGCTGTGAAAGATTTGGTCAATTGAGCTTTTGGAATCAGTTTGCTATTTTTAAATAATGATTATTAAGTCATTTTCCCATCATAAAATAGTTTCCATTACAATACTTATTATTGGATTTAAGAAGGGAGCTGAATTTACTCTCATTTTGCTCTTGTGGTTTCTCAAATAAAATTTTATTTGTTTTAAGTCAGTGGGAAATCAGAGTTCCCTCTTTTTCTTTGGTGCTACAGAACGATTCTCGTGATCGGCTGCCTTGAGACTTGTGTGTGCAGTGTGTATGCATCTGGGTGATTGCATGTCTGCACTGCTTGCTGTATACATGTATGGTTAGAGTACACAGGGACCTGTGGACCATTCAGAGCTCTCTGCCAGTTTCAGTGACCACAGGGTCTTGGATTGTGTCCATGTTGCTTTCACTTACTTCCCAGCAAAGAATCCATGAGATAAGGATACAGGCAAGTGTCCCGCAGTAGGAATGCAGAATCGAGGTCAGAGAGCTACCTGGTGGAATCACAGTGCTTTGAAACACTGTTCTTGGAGGAAATGCCATGCGGCTGCTGTGCTCAGGCAAATCTTTCAGTGCTTCAATTTAAAGAATTGAATTTGGGAGCTGCAGAGATTGCTCAGTAGTTAGGAGCCCTTGCTGCTTTTTGCAGATGGCACAGGTGTGGTTCCCAGCATCCACATGGTGACTCACAACCATCTGTACCACTAGTCCCAGGGGCTCGAATGCTCTTGTCTCACCCATGGGCATCAGACAGCACGGTGCACATACATACATGCAGCTAAAACACACACTTACATGAATCTTATAAAAAATGGATTTAAATTAATGTTTTCAAAGATTTTCTTATTTTGAACCCATGATCCTTCTGGCTCTGGCGTGTGCATTGCAGGCAACATGCATGCTGCTGCCATTTCTAAAATAGTTTGGTGTTATCATTTACTTTAGGGAAAAAAGCCATGTTGTCAAATGAAATCTTCTTGGTATATATACTTGCCTGTTCTAGAAACTTTGAAAACACCGTTTGCTCAGTTATTCAGCAGTTTACAGCTGTATGATAAGTTCACAGATAATCTTTAGGTCTTCACATCCCCACCTCCACCCCCACACAGGTCCAGACTTGCCCAAGAATGGAAAAGCTATGGCCTGGGCCCACTCCTCCTAGCTCTAACCAATTAGAAATGTACTAATATGATTGCCACTTGGGTAAGTCAATTCTAAATAGAATGGTCACACTGCTTTTAAAATTCCTGTAGCTCTGCTTAAAAGCTTATGCGTCTGTCTTGGGGTTGTTGTCTCCATTTTTGTACAGGTGTGTACGACCCCACATGTTGAAATAGGAGCGGCAGGGCTGCGTCCCCGGCACCCGGCCGCCTGCATGGCTAGCTTATGCCCAGAAATAATTACACGGAAACTGTATTCTTTCAAACACTGCCTGGCCCGGCTAGTTCCAGATTCTTATTGGCTAGCTCTTACATATTGTTCTAACCCATTTCTAATATTCTATGTAGCCCATGAGCTGGCTTACCAGGGAGGATCTTAACCTGCGTCTGTCTGGATGGTAATAAGCATTTTAAAATAAATCAGCAGAGCCCCTCCGTCACTGGAATGCAAACACCAACACTTTTTGTCTGGTGTTTCTTTATTTTTGTCTGCCTTCACTGTTTTCAGCCTAGGATGGAATAACCTGTATTATGCATGCTGCACAAATTTCTGATACTGAGCCACAAGGCAACCCTTGGGATAGCTTGTAAAGAAGCCTGGGTTTGGTTATAGAGTGAATGAATACCCTACCCTGAGGCCAAGTAAGGGTTAGGACTGGACCCCAGGGTGTTCCTGGTGGCTACTGTGTAAGGAATGAGGGGGTAGACAGGAACCCATAGAGGGCACGATGATCTCATAGCTAAAGGTAGGACAACCCAAAAACGGCAAGTATTCATGAATTTCTCCATTTGTTTTCTTCTATTAAATGAGGTTTTGGTATACTTTTCACCTTATATTTATGTCCCTGTGGGCCAGAATAGGGTGTCAGATCCCCAGGAACTGGAATTACAGACAGTTATGAACCACTATGTGAGTGTTGGGAATTGAACCCCAGTCCTCTGCAAGAACAAATGCTCTCAACCTCTAAGCCATCTCTAGCCCCCATGTTTGATGTTTTAAAGAAAAACTAACAACCCTGAGGACAAGGATGAATCACTGTCCTCTGAGGTCTTGGCAGCTGATGTCCCTCTGTCCCCCTGCCTGGTGCTGCCAGTAGGAGGCCTAAGGAAATGCCTTATCAGGAAGAAGGGAAGGAGGCGGGGGTCACTGTTTCAGCACGTTTTTCTTCTTGATTCAACTATGTATTTATAATGTTTTATTCTTTTATCCTTTAGCATGGAGGTACAAAACTCCCCACAGAGTGGCATTTGTTGAAAAATTAACGAAGCTTGTGTTAAGTCAGCTGCCTAACTTCTGGAAACTCTGGATTTCATATGTTAATGGAAGTCTTTTCAGTGAGGTTTGTATGCACTTCTGCCTACAGGTGGAACTGGGTCACTGAATTTCTGGTCTTAAAACTTAAGGTTTTGAGGTTCTCTTTTCAAGACTTAAAAGTCTTAACACCTTTATCCACTTTCTTTAAAATTTATAAACTTTATTATAAAAGAAACTCGCAAGTAAATAAAAACACCACCCACCAAAACTAACCATTTTCACCTTTTTAAGATCAATTAAATGCATTCTAAACCCCTGGGACTTTGAGCTCATTATGTGATTGTCTGGAACTAAACAGACTAGCAAGGCTCTCCTACTCTGCAAGTGCTTCTAAGGGTTAAATGAGATACACATCTAAAAAGAGAACTAGACTTTGTTTTCGAGATTCACAGTCAAGTGGAAGGTCAGTCAGACCAAATTGTGTGGATGCTATTATGTGCGACCAAATGATAGTCAAGGAGGACCGCTGGAGCTCGGCCACAGGGGAAAGAACTTAGTAATGACACAAGTCGTCTGGTCCCTGGCTTGGTTTGTTTGTTTTATAAGCCTCTGCATTTTTAGGGTCAACATTTAATGAGTATCTTTTTAACATAATGTTTTCAATTTATTCTTTGAGAATTTCGCATATGTAAACAATTATTTTGATCATATCCACACCTATTCTCTGGCTAACTCACTCAGTTGCCCACAACAGCCCCTTCCCAATGTCATCAAGCAGCCCTGATCCTGTGACTCCTCCCACCCCCCCACAGAGCCCAGTTAGTCTTATCTATACACATGGGAATTGGACATTCACTAGTGTCGGGGGTACATATCCTCAAAGAAAAAGGTGTCTCCCTCAGCGACCAACATCTGCCAGTAGCTCTGGGGTAGGGTTGGAGCCTCATGAGCTGTGCCCTCTCCTGCTTGAGTTTTATGGAGTTGATTTTGTGTCGGTCTTGGAGTAACCACAGCTGTTGTGAGTTCAGGGTCAGTAGGCATGGCATGTCGAGAGGACATGCTCACAGCACTCCTCCCCGTCTTCTGCCCCTCAATTCATTCTGCATCATCTTCTGCAGGTGTCCCCTTAGGACTGAGCACTCAGTCACTCGTTCTTGGCTCTTTGACCAGTTCTGAGTCTCTGCCCACTAGAGAAAGAAGCTTTTCTGATCAAGGTTGAAAGTAGCACAATTACTGGCCTATTTCCTGAGCGATTGAACTTGTATCAGAAAGACTTTACCTATGCCTTTATTTAGAAGTGTGCTCCCTCTTTTATCTCCAGCAGTTTCAGAGTGCCAGGTTTCCTGTTGAGGTCCGTGAGCCATTTGATGTTGAGTTTTGTACAAGGATCTGGTTTCGTCTGCATATAGACATTGAATTTTTGCAGTGCTGTTTGTTAAGATGCTGTCCTTTCTCCAGTGTGTGTTACCTTTGTCAAAAATCAAGTGGCTATGGGTATGAGGTTTATATCTGGGCCGTCTGTTATTTTCCATCCACCTTCATGTCTGTTTTTATGCCAGTGTTATGCTGTTTGCATGACTATGGCTCCACAGTATAGTTTGAAATCAGGTATAGTTTCACCTTCAGCAGTTACTATCTTTGCTCAGGATTGCTTTGGCTCTCTGGGATCTTTTTTTTACTTCCATGTGAATTTTAAATTTTTCTTTTTCTATTGAAGAATGTCACTGGAATTTTCACAACTTTTAACAGGAAAGGATGCTGAATTTTGTTAAGCCTTTTCTGTGTCTATCAAGATGACCATGTGATAATTTCTGTCCTTGAGATCTCAACCATTAATACAATTTATAACATTAGTTGATATGTATATTTAATGATGCCCACACCTCTGGAGTAAAACCAACCTGTTCATGATAATTAAATGTCATGGAGATCCCTCCAAGATCTTCCATAGAGCTTAGTGTCATAAATATCTTTGTTCTGTTTTTATCATGAAAAGTTTTTATTTTTCCTCCAGTTATGATAGGTCACTTTATTGTATATATATATGTATATATGTCTGTGTGGACAGTTGTTGGAGCCATTGTGGCTTTTAAGGTTTCAGATTGATAGTCTACTTATATTCTAATGGGCTGCTTTCTCGTGTGACTTGGTGTTCTCTCTTGTTGTTCTCAATATTTTTTTATTGTCTAAATATTTAGTGTTTTTATTATGATCCGACACAAGGAGGTTTCTTCCTGTTCTTGTCTGTCTGGTACCCTAAATACCCCTATGTATTGAGTGGCATCTCTTTTCCTAACTCTGGGTGTTTTCTATTATGCTTTTTCTGAAAATGCTTCCTATGCCTTTTGGACAAGATTTTTTTTCTCCTATGCCAGGTGTCTTTAGGTTTGGGCTTTTCAGATTGTCAAGTATCTTCAGATGTGCCATCTTATTAGTTATCTTTGTCCGTGTTAAGTTGTTCAAGCTTCTCTACTTTGCCCTAAACCCCAGATAGTCTGTCCTCTCCTTCCTTGATTCATTCTCTTCCTGAGACTCCATAGAGTTTTTTGAACTTAATGTCTTTGTTTCAACATTTTAGTTTTCTCTTAGTTGAATTCCTTCTTCATGTCGTGTATCACCTTCCTTATTTATTCAGCTATTTGCTTATGTCTTTGAACATAGCTGAAATTATTCTGAGTTCTCTATCTGGAATTTTGTTTAACTTATTCTCACTAGATGGCATTGCTGTAGGGTTAATAATTTTTGGAAGCGCTATGCTGTCTTATTCATTTTCTTTTGTTACTGCATTGTAATTTATACATCTGGTGTTGTTTTGTATATTTTTTTCTCAGCTGTTGAAGTATTTGCAGTGTTCAGGTGGGACTCGTGTATGGTAGAATTGAATGTGTAGTTTATAAAATAATTCCTCGGTCTAGGTGTTTATGGTTATCTGTTGTAAACACCGTATTATGCCTTGAGTAAATTATTAGCTGGAAGAACAGCCACATCTGCTTGCTATTACCACTGTGCAAAAGACATATTAGCCAATTAATAACAGTGGTCCCTTTGACTTCAGTAGCTCCTGGAGGATACACAGCCAAGTGTGGTATGGAGTAGATGCGGATTTTAGTTAATAAGATTAGAAGTTGGAGAAAAGTAGGGTTGATAAAGATAAGAGTCAATGATTAGATCAACTTCAAAAACATGAAGTGGGTAAAGTAGCCCGGGAGAGGGGAGGGAGTTGGGATGCCGTTGGGTCCATGTATTATAGAAAGTATTAAATAGGTGGACGCTTACAATCAAGAAGGAAAAGGATGAGGGGGAAGTGTGAGAGAAAGAAGAAAAGGTGTGGGACTGAGAGTGAGTATGTGAGATGTGCTGGAGAGTGGCCGGATGCCATAGTAACCTGGGTGGAGAAGCTAAACAGCAGCCCGAAGAGCCTGCGGAGCAATATACAAGCAAAACTGTCCTAAGTTACAGAGTCAAGAGTAACTGGTAAGTAAGCAATAGAGGCAGCACTTATGGAATGGTTTGCTGGCACAGCTACTCTGAGTTAAAAGGGGAAGTTCTCAGACCTCGGGCTCTTGCAGGTTTCTTGGGGTGCCTTTGGTCTCTGCAGACTCTGCAGTCCTAGGATTCTGGTGTGTTGGGAAGGGCAGGTCATAAGTCCTTTTCTGTAGTTCCCTTTGCACCTCTGTACTCCACCTTGGCCTCTTCTGGTCTGCAGGTCTTGTGTGTGTGACGAGCAGCACTTCTCTTGCAGTTTCTCACATTTACTGAGAATCTTAGTCACAGTATGCATCTGTCCCCATTTGGGAGGGTGTGAAGCTTACTGCTGGGCAGTAGTGGCATTATCATCTCTTCAAGTACAGATCTTGAGGAGAAACGGCGCATAGATACTCTGTGGAAAACTGTGTTCCTAAGTTTTGGAGAATGCAGCCCGGTGGTTGACTCTTGTCTAAAAAGCAGTAGGCCCCTAGTGTCGTGTCCCCCATCAGAATTATTCCAGTATTTGAAATGACATTGGCCTGGCACATACGTGTAAACAAGATTTAGTAGTGGTGGGAAGTAGCAGCCTGATGAACGTGTACAGTAGCACAAAAGAATGTCAAGGTAGATTAATGCACGAGAAAAACAAGTCCCCTAGAAAATAGATTTTATTCCAGCCAAATGTTTTATTCCAGTAATTCAGATCATTTCTTTTTGTTTTGTTTTGTTTTTGTTTTTTCAAGATAGAGTTTCTCTGTGTAGTCCTGGCTGTCCTGGAATTCAATCTTTAGACCAGGCTAGCCTTGAGTGAAGATATTTGCCTGCCTTTGCTTCCTGAGTGCTGCGATTAAAGGTGTGCACCACCTCCTCCCAGCTGCATCATTTCTTGTAGGCACATGCAGAGTAGTTGGTTTCTGTCTTTCAAGGATCATAAAGTTGACAAATGGTTTTGATCTTTTGCTATATCAGTTAAAAGAGAACATACTTCCATATAGGTCCTACCTAGAGTAAATATGTAAACATTTGGTTATCGATGAAGCCTGTGACCTCCTTCGTATTTCATGACAACATACTGTTGAAATGAAAAGAAATGTATCTTAATTCGTCTGCTGAATTGGCTGGCCTGTGATGTTTCTATTTACGTCCATAACTTTTTTTTTTTAAAGTTGCAGTAGCAAGCATGATGATTCTCTTCAGAAACTCAGCACATTTTTAGAGCATTTCTTCTCTATTGAGAAGCTTGGAAGCCACCGCAGGAAAGTAGCAAGAAGCAGAAGAGCTGGAGAGTGAAACCAGAAACATGGTTGAGTGGGCACTGGGAGGAGGCTTGGCACTTTAGATAATTGATATCGGAGAGCTTTAAACACTTCACGTCAGTGTCCTATTTCTCTTATTGTAGGACTACCTGGGTTATTAACAGGCCATTCGTTAGAAATTTCTAGCAGTTTAAATAATAGTCACTTCTTTAACTATTTGGGCCCATGTGAATCAGAACAGTGAAATCTGCCGTTGGGCTCACCACAAACTGGTTTTGGTCTGTGTGTGCAGGAAAGAATTGAGGCTTTAGTTAACGAAATGGGTACCAACACTATCTCACTGTGGGTGTGCTTCAATGTAGTCTGTTTTAAAGCACCAAATAATTGCTAAACATTAGGAGCCAACATTTTTCAAGTCCTAGAACTTTAAGCAAATATAAATTTTATTAAAAACTGAAAAGTGAGATTTGCTTTTATAAAGGGTAGACATTATGAACCTATCTTCTATACCAGGATTGCTCAGTTCTATAATATCAAAACTATCAGAAACTGTTGCCACCACACAAAACTCTCAGCCCCCTGTTCTCCATTTTGTTGACAGTTAGGTCTCTAAGATAGACCTGAGTTTACCAGGCTTTTCAGGAGCCGTAGTGTAGTATAGTGTCCAGTGTGTGTGGTGTAGTGTGGTGCAATGTAGTCTGTATAGTGTGTGTGGTACAGTGTGATGTAGTCTGGTGCATCGTGGTGTAGTGTGTGCAGTGTGGTGTGGTGTAGCATAGTGTGTTGTAGTAAGTACAGTAAGTGGAGTATGATATATCCTGGTGGCTGGCTAGTCTGTCACGAGACTTGATACCTCGGTGATTTTGGAAAGCATTTAGATCAGCACAGATTGAAGGTAGGAATGCTTTTGAAAGCATGCTCAGAACAGGATCTTAATCACAGTATGCCAGGTACTGATACACACACTTTTATGTACAGGCTATATACACACATGTGCATACATGTAGCGTGCATGCATAAGTCCATTCTAAAATGCTGAAGATACTGTGTAAATAAAACAGTGACTTCCCCTCTTGAATAAGCCGATTAAAAGTTAATTTCTAAAAACTCATCTTAATTCTGTGAATATCTATCAAAAGGACAAAGCCAGACTCGTAATGAAGATGGTCAGTAGTAGGGTGCAAAGGAAAACGGACTCGAAGCCATAGTCTCTCAACTGAACCTTAGCATACTAGAAGCTGACAAAGGAGCTCACACCGCACATGTATCACCAGGGGGAGGCTCCAAGGAGAGCCCTGGCATGCACAGGTCCTAACAGGCTTCCATGTCAGTGGGCCAGCTGTCTTTTGGAGGGGATCATGGGAAGAAGCCCTAGGGCTGTGTGTGCAGGAGGAGTAGGGATGGGGGGGGGTGTTGTCAGTGGAAGTGGAAAGAAAGTAGTGGTGCAGTTTGCATTCGGAGGCAGAGTGCAGGTCTTGCTGGTGGATCCTGGGGAGATCTGAAGGCAAGCATGCAGATACAGCAATGAAGCAGGTTTCTCACTAAGCAGGTGCCATTCACAAAGTATCTTGGAGGAAACCTAGTAGGTTTCCTTATTGTGCTGCATGAGAGCTTCCTGTGAATTATTCAAGAGTTAGTAGGTAATTGAGATCTATGAGTCTCAGAGGGTTTGGTCTGCCGGTACCTGATGGAGGAAGGACATTGGTTAATTATAATAAAGAAACTGCCTCAGCCCTCATAGGACAGAAAATTAGGTAGGCGGAGTAGACAGAAGAGAATGCTGGGAGAAAGAAGCTTAGTGAAGGAGTCACCATGATTCTCCCACGCCAGACAGACGCAGGTTAAGATCCTCCCTGGTAAGCCAGCTCGTGGGCTACATAGAATATTAGAAATGGGTTAGAACAATATGTAAGAGCTAGCCAATAAGAGGCTACAGTAATGGGCCAGGCAGTGTTTGAAAGAATACAGTTTCCGTGTAATTATTTCTGGGCATAAGCTAGCCATGCGGGCGGCCGGGTACCGGGGACGCAGCCCCGCCGCTCCTATCTCAACAGGTACCCATATGGGAAATAGTATCTGAAGCTATAGGCAAAATTAGTGAGAGAAGATAGAAGAGAAAAATGTGTTCCAACTGAGATCTGACAAATAGCAGCATCGGGAAGGCTGCTGTGTATCAGTGAGCTGGACAGAGCAGAAGTGAGGTCAGTAGAGCCCTGTGTTTGGCAGAGTAGAAGAGAAGCATCTTCTCTGTGCCACCTTCCTGGCTGCACAGCATCTCACCTGTGCACATGGTCTGCCCCTTGCAACACTCAGGCTGACCCAGAGCTTGCTTATTAACACCTAATTAACACTTAATCTTGGCTCTGGGTGTTTCTTATTTGTATTGAAAATAAAGATATAATCCATCTTGTTGAGCAAAACATTTGGAGTGGCATAAGGCAGTGCACTCAGGAGTTAGCCTTTTCCGTGATTAATAGGTAATCCTGCAGTTTGCATTTTTAATTTTGAAAGCAAAAGTGTATTTTCACACAGGAAAAGTGATAAAAGCTTCAGCTTACATGAAGTTTTAAGACACGTGAGTTAAAGGGTATTGCTGTATGTATATTGAGTGCTGGTTCTTAGAACACTCTACCCTATTCACCCATTCTCGTCAGTAACACTCATGTAGAACTCAGCTCCACATGCTGTGTCTAGAATGTGTGCTGTATGTATGCTTAGATAAAGCATTACTTAGATTCCCACATTAGCTTCAAGGGAATGCTGCAATTATTTATGATGTGCCTAAATATTTAGCTTGAAGAGTCTTTTGACATATCTTTAACCTTAATCAACAGTATCTGAAATTTCTTATTTATTTATTTATTTATTTATTTACTTACTTAATTATGTTTTTATTGTGACAGGGTTTCTTTGTAGTTTGGAGCCTATCCTGAAACTAGCTCTTGTAGACCAGGTGGCCTTGAACTCACAGAGATCCTCCTGCCTCTGCCTCCTGAGTGCTGGAATTAAAGGTGTACGCCATCACCGTCTGGCTAGTACCTAAGTTTTTAAATTTAACAGTTTTGTGTTTTGTTAATGAAGTATCAAGAGTTTGGTTTTACAGTGTTTAATTTTGTTATTGCTTCTTTATCTGAAAAGATCATACGCTTGTCCTTTCAGGGTATTTTATGTAGTAATATTTGATTTTCAGAACATTTATTAATAAAAAACTACAAGGATTCTTGTTGAACAGATTTCTCTTAGCTATGAAAACAGTCTCCACACATTACGTAAAGAAAAATATAGGGTTTATGAGTAAACAGAAATAAATGATTCTAGAATGGTAGGATGTATTCTCTAAGGTACACTGTAGAGAAGACAATGATTTATAAATAAAAGTAAAGTAGCAGATGTAGTACTTGTGTTTATAATAAATATTTATGGAAGACATGGAGCAGATGTCCTGGGGATCACTTCACTAATTCAAAGTTTACTCTTCCTTTGTTCCCGAGACACGATGGGAAGAACACCGGCATAGACATGATACACTGGGGTTTAGTTGTGTCGATTGCTGATGAAAATGGCACACCCAGTACAACTACAAAATTTGTAGTTTCGACTTGTTTATTGGGTTTGTACATAGATTCATACCAGAACTTAGAAAGAGGCAGGCTAGCTTCTTTTGGAATAAGAAAGATTTCTCTGGTTATGTCTTAGCATTTCATTTCATCAGGTTAAGTTTCATGTCTTCATGTATAGATGTTAAAGCATTTCTTAACTTTTCTAGGTTATTTCTAAAAGAGACCTAATACGTGTTTGTTTTCCAATTTCTCAGACTGCTGAGAAGTCAGGCCAGATTGAAAGATCCAAGAATGTAAGGCAGAGACAAAATGACTTCAAGGTAAGCGAGGGATGAGAGTCAACTCTTCAGGGCACTGGGTTTTCTCCTCAACATTGTGGAAAACTTTATAGGCAAGATGCGTTTGATCATTCAGCCCAGGCTTTCCCAGACTGATGATCATAATGCAGTTTTGGTTTTGCTTTTTCTAGAAAATGATCCAGGAAGTTATGCAATCCCTGGTGAAGCTGATCCGGGGAGCCCTGCTCCCACTCAGCCTCAGAGAGGGTGATGGAAGGCAGTATGGAGGCTGGGAGGTGCAGGCAGAGCTCTCAGGGCAGTGGCTCGCACATGTTATCCAGACCATAAGGTAAGTGTGGACCCATGGGAGCCATGCTCATTGAAAGGGCTTGGTGGGTTTACATGCATTTGTTTGCTTTAGTGCTTTTTGAAAACAGTCAACACCCTAGAGTAGAGTGTGTTGTTTAACATGTCAACCAAGAATCAACTTTCTATCTCTCTGTCCTGCTGCTTTGCCTATTTCTCACTTATACTCTAACAAAGCAGCTCTTAAGCATTCCTGGTATTAGTGCTAGATGAGAGTGTCATACTTATGCGCATCCATCTATTGCAGGGACCCTGTACAGTCCCTGCTGCGTTTTCCACTCTCCGCTTTCAACACTCGTGCTGTTGCTCATAAGCTCTGTTCGGCATAATTGCAGGATAGTTCCAAGCAGTGGCAGGGATTGCTTGGGGCCCCATTTACTCTCTTGTATTGTATTTCATTTGTTTGCCAGGCTGACGTATGAATCGTTGACTGCCCTGGAAATTCCCAATGACATGTTACAGATTATCCAGGACCTAATCTTGGACCTCCGTATACGTTGTATAATGGTGACTTTGCAGCATACAGCAGAAGGTATGTTAGGAAAATTAGTAGCTTTTACTTGACAAGGTTATCCTAGAAAGCTTACAAAGCCTTGAAAATAAGAGAAAACTAGTGTTAGGGAAATGTGCATGTATTTATTCATTTCTAACTGTAGAATAGAATTTTTCCTTTTTTTAAAAAGTACCTTTTAAAAATAATTTAGTTGAGATTTAAGACACTGCAGAAGTTAAGATGGATGTACTTGAAGCTAAGAATTTATTTAAAATAACAACTTTTAAATAGAAGCTGTTGGATAGAAAAGTTTATGTAAAATATGGACCCTGTTTAAGAAACTTGTGGATATTTTCTAAGTAACTTTTAAAATCACATGAAATCAGAACACGATTGGCAGCGTTTCTGTGGATACTAGAAGTTATACATGCTTTTCTTTATACTTTGAAACGTCTCCAGAATTTTCTATATAGAGCTACCAAAAGGCTACCTACCAAGTTATTTTTATAACATGACCGTTGAAGTATTAATGTGTTTTTAAAAAAGAAACAAATAAAAACATTGTTATAAACAACATAGGCCACCAGGACTTTAAGTGCACGTAGAATTGGTAGTTAATAGTACATCGTGTCAGGGAAGAGAATGGAATCCAGCTAAGAATCTAAACATTCCCCTCCATCTTCACCTCAGCAAGCCTCCCTGCTGAAGGTTTGGGCAAGTGCCATTCCTCAAGAGGGAGCCAGCCTCCACTCAGGAGTGAGAAGGAGGACTCACCCTGACTCTAGACTACACTGGGGGCTGATTTTGCACATGTCTAGCACTTGGTGACGAATACTGAGAGAGTAATCACTGTTGTAAGGCTTCTTTGCTCCTAGTCTAGAAAGCTCCAAATTAGGCTGTGCTGTTAAAAACAAAGAAAAAAAAAAAAACAAAAGTATTTGCATGAGCATGGTGGTGGCACATGCTTTTAATCCTCCCAGCACTTGGGAGGCAGAGGCAGGCAGATCTCTGAGTTCAAGGCTAGCCTGGTCTACAGAGTGAGTTCCAGGACAGCCAGGGCTATATAGAGAAACTGTTTCTAAAAACAAACAAACAAACAAAATAGCCATTTGTTAGAAAATGGACATAACTAAGTCCTCAAATCTGTAAATATTGCATTGTATCTCTTTTTTCACAAACTTATGTAAAATAATTAAAAGCCACAACCCATGGATGTTTTTGTCTCGTTGAAGTTCTGTGAGACAGTTATCATAGAAAGTATTTGTGTCCTTCTTTTCCATGTAGAAATAAAGAGATTAGCTGAAAAAGAAGATTGGATTGTTGACAATGAAGGACTGACTTCCCTAGTAAGTTTAAATTAATTTTATTGTTAGTCATTAATGTTTGTTACAGGCAAGAGAAATGTGTTTATTTTCTTAAGGATCATGTTCATTTTGCATTATAACTCCAACTGGTTTCTAGAAATTGTGTCATGATCTTAAAATGTCCATTCCCAAAGTCAGTTTTGCTTACTGCTGATCACAGACATTTAAAATGAGTGAAAACAGTAGAGTCTGTGTTGGCCTGGACCACTACTGTATCACTACTTCTGTTTGCATTACTTTTTAAAACTGGAGTGTGCTTAATTCTGCATTGCTTAGCAACTTGAAGTTTTCAGAAACGCAAGCTAGAGGAATGATGGTTCTGTCCCCAAAGCTAAAACAAACCCAAGCGAGAGGCATAAGCCAGTGCAGGCAGCTCCACGTAGGTCAGGCAGCATACAGACTCATGATCTATTTCTAGAGTGTTCGTTCTAGAAACATCCTCTTTCTGGGTGGATTTAGAATTTTAAGTGCCATCGAGAATACTTTTCATAGTTTTTTAGTGTTTTCATGCCTTTTAGAGGGGTGCCTGGCAGTCTGTTGGGGACTGAGTGGCTCCTGAAATGGAGACTTAGGCAGGACAAGAGTGGGTGCCTTTTCCTCATGCTGGCCACACAGCTTGTCGTCAGCCAGTGCCCAGGGTGACCCTCTGTACCGGCTTCAGTCTGGCAATCCTGGTGGTCCTTTAAGCCTCACTCCTGTCAGGAGGAACGTAGAGCAGTCTGAGTCGCCACAGCCACTGTCTTCAGAGTCTGTTGGCCGAAAACGTCCCCAAGCCTGAGGAAGTAGCTACTCGGCAGTATGACTACTGCCAGTTTCTTTCATGTCCTCCTTTGCAAGGGAGAGAAAATAAGTTCTGAGTTTGGAACTTGTAGTTTCTGCCAAGAATAAAGTGGATTTGGCCCCACAAATTATAAACCACTGGTTAGTTGGGAACAGAGATCCCACCCAGCATTTTTCCTTTTCCTGGAGTCTGCATGGGCTCTAAGTAGTCTCACTTCAAAAGCTGGGGCTGGTTGTCTCCTTGAAGTTCAAGGCTCTACTCCAGGTCAGTATAAATGGATGCCAGTGTTGTTTAAGTTTAGAAAAGACATAGCTACTGCCAGTGTTTCCTAAGTTAAATCATGCAAGAGATGAGCTGAGAAAGTTCATTATTTTTAATAATCAGTATGGATTTTTTTCAGAGGATCTTTAGATTAAAATGCTTAATTGGTTGGATTTGTTCTGTTGATTGCCTTATTTGCATTTAAATCTAAAGTATTCTTTGATTAGTTCTGACACTAGCTCTGTAGAGAAAGACTGCATGTGGTACTTAGCTCAACACTTTTTGAGATATGTAAAAGACTAAGAAGATAGTTTTTATATTGATTATATTTTGAAGTCATTTGAATTTCTAGTTTTATCTCTGCTGCTGTGTTAAAGTACTCTGACCGAAAGCAGCTTAGGGAAGAAAGGAATTCTTTAGCTTATAAGCCCAGGTCACAGCCCATCATTGGGAAGTCAGTGCAAGAACTCAAGGCTATTTCACCTGGCATTGTCGATAGTCAAGGAACTCACTTCACAGCCAGTGACATCAAGCAAGAACCGTGGGACAGGATGTTTGATGGCTGGCTGCAGGCTTATATTCCCATTCACTTGTATAGTTCAGAACAGCTTGTCTAGGTTGGTGCTACCCACAGTGTACTGGGCCCTACTATATCAGTTAACAAGCCAGCCTTCCACAGACATCCACGGGCTGATCTGATCCAGGCAGCTGCGGCGCTGAGGCTCTCCCTCAGATGACTGTGTGCTGTGTCAGGGTGACTTGCAGATCTAAGCAACAAGAGATGCTGTGTTAAATTTCTTCTTAAGCTGTCTGATGTGGGATATCTCATGTTTCCTCTATGGCTTATGCCCATAGCACACATCACTCTTCTGAATGATGGCATGGAGGAGTCAACACTGCCCTCCTGAGAGTCAGAGTCTCTCCTAGGGAAGACCCAGAATCCCTTTGGCCCGAGTCTCCCTTCACCAAAACTGAGCAGAATGCCTTCATAGTGTGGACTTAGAAGTAGATGTGGTTCTGTGCACTAAAGCATGACGTAAACTACAAAGTTTTGGATAAAGAATTTTATTTGTTAACTTAATGCTTATAGCAACTGGGGCACCATGCAGACATCAAGTTACCTTAATTTCCATGCTTGATCTCTGTCTCAAATGAATTTTGTACAAAGGAAGAAAAAAAAAGCTGTATGTTCAGTTTGAGAAAGTTAAAAGTCCTTGTTTTATGAAAAACAAATGCTGACCAACACTCAGTCCTCCAGCACAACCTTGGTCAGTAAGTCAGCATGTGCAGACTCCCATGGCCTGCACCACAGAGTAGAACTCTGCTGGGAACCCTGGAAAACGACTGGATTATTATTATTAGAGAAGCATGGCTCTATTCTGTTTGTAAAATTGGATTTCCCTAGTGCAGTAATAACCACAAGATAATTCATTTTGTTTGGCCCTCGCTACACACAGACGTCACATGAATATACACAGGGTTAAAAAGAACTAAACCCTGTGGGCTGTGTGAAACAAACCGCTGAAGTGGTGCATCTGGAGTCAGCTAAAACATCCTCTAGCCAGTGCTGGTGAAGAATGCAGCTATCGTGGTGGGCTTGAATTAGGAGCGGTGGCAGGGCTGCGTCCCCGGCACCCAGCCGCCCGCATGGCTAGCTTATGCCCGAAATAATTACACGGAAACTGTATTCTTTCAAACACTGCCTGGCCCGGCTAGTTCCAGCTTCTTATTGGCTAGCTCTTACATATTGTTCTAACCCATTTCTAATATTCTGTGTAGCCCACGAGCTGGCTTACCAGGGAGGATCTTAACCTGCGTCTGTCTGGAGCGGGAGAATCATGGCGACTCGCCCACTCAGCTTCTTTTTCCCAGCATTCTCCTCTGTCTACTCCGCCTACCTAATTTTCTGTCCTATGAGGGCCGAGGCAGTTTCTTTATTATTAACCAATGAAATCAACAGATAAGATACAAGACCCACCTCCATCAGCTGATGACCTTTGTAGCCGCTCAGCACAGAACTTTCTCAAGAGGAAAGAGGGGTCAAGACTTAGAGAGCAGGAGCCCACATCCCAGCTCTGAGCAGCTCAATCCTTTGTGCATGTGCACCCTAAGGACAGACTCATTTACATGCCCTGAACTTTGATCTAACCCTCTGAGGAGAAGGCTTGCTTCTCCCTTTGCTGTGCCTGGGATTAGGAAGGACCCCCGGATGTGCTCTGGAAGTGAGCGCTGAGCCTTTGAGGGCATGGCTGCTCTGCATCTGGAAAGTGTCTTAGCTAGACCCTCATCAAGGCTCTACAACAGATCAGGTGAAAGTGTACTGTTTTATCATATACTGTTCCCTCCCTCCCGTTCTCCCTCCTCCCCCCCTCTTTTCCTTCCTTTTTCTTTCTTTTTTATTTAATTTGGAGATTTCTTTCAGAACTAGAATGGTTTTGATAACCTCCTACAGGTGGGTGATTCACTGACAACGGACAGGTGTTTCTAGAATAGAAAGAGCAGTCGTTTAGACTGTTTACTGCTGCCTTGGCTGAAGCTGCTGTCTAAGCTGTCTGGTATTTTCTGTCCATTCATGGTACTAATATAGGTGTAAAGTGTACGGAAGTCTAGTTGAGATCCTAACACATGATGTCTAAGTGAGCACACATGAACGCCAGCGTCTCACTGCCCACAGGTGACATTCAGTTTTTATTCTCAACTTTGTGCTTGCTATTTTTGTTTAATCATCTTAGATAGCTGTGCCTACTGTGGACGGTAGGCTAATAAGCAGGTCACCATCTGACCATTTGTTCTCTCTTTGTTTTGCAATCTTTCAGCTCAAACCCCAGGCTTCCCACATGCTCGGCAGTAGTGAACAGTGCTTTTTGTGCATTTATGGTTCAGCTTACTCTTCCTTTTCCCACTTGTACTTTTATCTACTCTTCATGGTGCTCCTAGTGGTTTCAGTGTGCGTCAGTATAGTGACATTAACCAAGGCCCTACTTTAGAAAAGTAAACTGGTTTTGTTTTGTTTTTGATGTGTATGGATTTTTCTTCTGCTTTTTCCCAGACTCCCTCTAAAAACTGGTGGCTCTGGTTCTTCCTGAAGATGTCCTGACCAGAGTGTTAGTTCAGTGTTAGTCTTGGCCTTACTCAGAGCCCTTGCAAATCTGAGGTCCTAATCCCTCTCTGCACTTGTGTTCAGTGCCAGCAACTCACTGTCTTACTGAGGCCTCAGTCCTGCGGTTTGCTGTCCTCTCGTGTGTCGTGATGCCCTCATACCTTTTTCCCTGTTCTCAGGGACTTCGGCCATCCTGTTCAGAGAGAAGACCCTCCCACACCATTCTCTATGAGCTCCAGTATTTTCTCCACGATGCTTCTTACTGTTTAAGTTACAGTTTCGTGTCTATAAAAAACAAAACAGCAACAACACAAAAACCTGTGACTGTCATGTTGGATGCCTCTCAACTTGGAAAAGCATGTAGTGAGAATTCTATCAGATCTGCTTGTGTGAACTTCAAGTGATCACAGAACACAGGCACTAGGATGTTAATCTGTTCCCACTTCTTTTCTTTTCTATCCATTCATTTCCTTTTCTTCTATTTTCTTTTCAGTTTGTTTTTTCTTTTCTTTCTTTCTTTCTTTCTTTCGTTCGTTCTTTCTTTCTTTGCTTTTTTTTTTTTTTTAAGACAGTGTTTCTTTCTCTACGTGACCCTGGCTCTCCTAGAACTTAACTTTGTAGACCAGGCTGGCCTCAAACTCAGACCTGCCTACCTCTGCCTCCCGAGCTCTGGGATTAAAGGCAGGCTGCAAGTTTCAGTTTTTTACTTATTGTACGTAGAAAATGAGTACAGCGACTTACTCGGCTTCAAGGATCTGTACATCCTCCAGATGGTTGTTAGAACTTTAGGTTTGACTAAACAATATAAGAGGTGGCCCACCTAGAAAATTGAGCTCATACATCATATGCATGCAATGTAGTCCTCAGGTATGAATGCCTTACATTTGTTCCTTGTAAGTTTCCTATGAAAGAACAATTTTAATTAAAAAACTTTAATCAGTTCTACATGAATTAGAAAAGCCTTACTCTCAAAATTTAACCCTCTTGAAACATGCCAGTCTCCACTCTACTGCGTTTAGACTTCTGGTCAGATTGTGTCTTTGTTCTTTTCTGTAACTCCGGAGACTTGAGCTTTTGGTTGCTTTCAGCTCCATAAATAGGAGGTTTTCTTTCTTTCAGCCATATCAGTTTGAACAGAGCATCGTGCACGCCCTGCAGTCATTGAAGGGTGTTGTCGACTGCAAGCCTGGAGAAGCCAGTGTGAGTTTCGGCCCTCTTCCACATGCCTTAGCCAGTCTTAAGAAATCCCTACCTGGTATGGAAGGCCTGGGAGGAGAAGAGGGAGGAGAAACTGTAGTTGGGATGTAAAAACAAAAAGAAAAGAAATTCCTTGCCTGGGAACTACAATAAATAGTAGTCATTGACGTCCAAGAGCTGTTCTGTCATCTAAATGCTTTTGTTTAGTTCTACTTCGATGTGTTGAGTTCAGGATCCAAGGCAGGCTGAGCAGATAAAATGTGGTCCAGCAGCTTTGAGTAGAGCAGAGTTCTTGTGGACTGATTGAATGTCTGACTTGGATATCACCAGCCAACTGGGGATCAGAACCCACTGGTAGGAAGCTGCCTAAGGCTAGCCCTTCGGAGTGAGGGTGCTGACACCCAGAGTGGTGTTCCGTGTTTTAGCTTTTACATCTAGTATTTCAAGCAAAACGTTTTGTTTGCTTAGCAAAATCAAAACTTTTTTATCTAAATCCTTCATAGGTCTTTCAACAGCCTAAAACCCAGGAGGAGGTTTGCCAACTGAGCATCAATATCATGCAGGTAACTAAAAGCAGTGGTAGAGACTGAATCCATGCACTGATCTGTCATTCACCATTGATAATGTCCATATCATTATTAAATAAGAGTTCTCTTAAAATCTCATCTGTGAGCAAAAGCATTTAAAGTAAGTCGGCTATGCAGATAAAGTTTAATGTAGGAATAGTTCTTGTTTATTTAGCAATGCCTGTATATTTCATTATACTGTGTTCTGTTTTCATGGTACTTTGTATTCATACCCTTTAGACGGCAGAGTAAACTGAATGAAAATTGGTTGCTTATAATTCATCTAGAGTTGTAAAGCTGTTTGTTTGGGACCAGTGCTTCATAGGTACATAAATGAAGTTGAGCATGTTTGTGAACGAATAAGGAAAAGGAAAGGAGTCTTTCTCCTAAAATGTATTCAAGAACATAACTAAATACGTAAAAGTTGATTCAAAGTGCTTATGATATTCTGTCGCTTTTGTAGTTAGACATTGATGGGGTATATATATTTCTACTACTTAGTTCACACATACATACATACACACACATACACACCTACACACCTACATTACTAGACGTATCTCTCCCCTACTTTATATTTTATTGGCCAGACAGTTCTGCTTTAATTTATATAAAATTGTTTTAATATTAAAATAGATTGATACCTGAAAACTCATATCACTGAAACTTGCTATTTTTAATCCAGGTTTTTATATACTGCCTGGAACAACTGAGCACCAAGCCTGATGCAGACATAGATACTACTCAGTAAGTAAAAATGTAATTAATCTCATTGATGCATTTAAGAGTAATAAAATGTAAGAAATACGTTTCATACTGAGGTGGGGTCTCATGTGAAATCTAGGTTGGTGTGAACTTACTATATGCTTGGGTTGCCCTCACTCTCTGTGGTCCTGGCCTTCTGAGACCCTGCCCTGACTCTTGACAGATGCTTGTTCTCTCTGTTATGTACAGCTTTCCAGTTGATACTTTAGCATGTGAAACTCCTGTGTGCAGTCTTTTTGGATGACACTTGGCATTTGAAACTTCTATGCTCGTAAGGTTCATGCTTTAACACAGATAGTATCAAAATAAGTGTTTACAGAACCGAATTGGCAATTTTTCTATTTACTTGTGTGTTAGTTAGGGTTTCTATTGCTGGGAAAAGACAACCATGACCATGGCAGAGCTTATAAAGGAAAACATTTAATTGGGGTGGCTTACAGTTTCAGAGTTTCAGTCCATTACCATTGTTTTGAAATGGTGGCGTGCAGGCAGACTTGGTGCTGCAGAAGGAGCTGAGAGTTCTACATCTTGATCCAAAGGCAGCAAAAGGGGAGACTGTACTGGGCATAGCTTGAGCATATAGCTTGAGCGTAGACCTCAAAGCCTGCACTTACACACATCCAACAAGGGCACACCTATTCCAACAAGGCTACATCTTCTAATAGTGCCACTCCCTATGAGCATTGAAACACAAGACTTTATGGGGAACATTCTTATTCAAACCACCATGCTTAGCATTAAATTTTGTTCATTTGTTATATAAAACTATTGTCTCTAGGGAACAAATACTTTTTTGAAAAATCTGTATGTATATGCACATTCCCAGTGTGTTTACTTGCGTGCGTGCATGCGTGTGTGTGTGTGTGTGTGTGTGTGTGTGTATGTGTGAGAGAGGGGGGGGGAGATAGGGGGCAGGGAGGGCGTTCTTTTTGGCCAGAAGTAGCTGATGAATGTTTTTCCCAGATATGTCCCTGCCATATATAGGCTGGGTCATTCATTTGCCCAGAGCTCACTGACTCAGCATGCCTAGCTATCCCGTTTCCACCTCACAAGTACTGAGAGCACAGGTGAGCTGTCATACCCACCTGGTATTTATATGGGTTCTAGAGAGCTGAACTCTGCTGCTCACATTGGGTGGTAAGCACTATCCCAACGGCCATCTCCTTAGTCCCACATTTTTAATAAGAAAAAAGTAGGTCTTTTTTGATATGATCGTATGTATTCGGCTCACTATGCCACCAGAACATTGCATCACTAATCACAGCCAGATATGCGATCTGGTGAAGTCAGTCTTTTCTTATGTTTTGCTAGAATTTCTTATTCCTCCATTGCTGGATTCTAACAGGTGGTGCGGATTTCCGAACTTTATCTCCTGCTCTGATCATACGTAACTCTGTGTTAGTTAGGGCTGTTTTAATTAGCATTTCTTTATATTTCAACTCTTTTTCAGATTGGTATTTTTGTTGTTGTTGTTGCTTGTTTTGTTTGGTTGGTTTTTTTGAGACAGGGTTTTTCTGGAACTTGCTATCCTGGAACTCGCTCTATAGACCAGACTGGCCTCTAATTCAGGTCCACCTGCCTCTGCCTCCCACGTGTTTTTATTATTGCTGTTTTGAAGTATTATTTTATATTCATCATATTAGACTTCCATATGAATTCAAGTCAGTCAAGTTTAAAGAAAAAAATTGCTAAGGTATTTCTTCTGATTCTGTTAAATCAGTAAATTAATGAGTGAGTTACCCTGCTCTTGCTTTTCACCTTTTAATGGTTTTGATTGCTTATGAGTGATCAACTAACTTAGCTCACCTGTAAGTAGGTCACTGTGAAAATGAGTTTCGAACTTTCCCCTGGAAATTCTGATAGTTAAAAACACTTTAATTATATGACTATTATTTGACATTTGACCATTTGGTAATTTGTTTTTTAATTTAATACAGTCACTTGAGTATTGAGACTTTTCCCATAGAAGTTTTATGTAGCCCTGGATAAGAAATAAGTCCATAGTGCTTCTTTATATATATTAAATATAAAGAAGACATTCTGGGAGTTGTACAGCTGTTTTTATCAAAACATTTGAAGTCAATGTAGTTTTAAGTCAGTTTTAATTGTGACTGTTTTCTTGCCTCTTCTACATTCAGTCTTTCTGTGGATGTTTCGTCTCCTGATTTGTTTGGAAGCATCCATGAAGACTTCAGTTTGACTTCAGTAAGTAAAATGCCAAACACAGAAAGTAAAGTGTGTCATGTTAAAGGTTGTGGCTGTGGTAATCAGCCTAAGTCATGTAAGATGAACTCTGTAGACACTGCACTTTGCTGTGGGACTACATTATGTTGTGTAAATATTTGTGTGTGTGTATCACACCAAAAAAGATCTTTCCCTGGAGTTAAACATGAAAAGACTCAGCGTGTCCACTGCCTCTGGAGTGTTAAAGGTGCCCTGGTTGTTCGCTGGTGCTGCAGAGTTGCTTGGATGGCCTGGGAGGGGCAGACGCACGGCATTTCCATTGTGTCGTTTGCCCCTTCAGCCTGACCAACCCCACTTTTCGCTGCTTTATTTCTACAACTCTCCTGTTTTGTTTGAACATAGGTTACGTGACAAAACCAAACCAAATCCCCACAGGCTATCTAATGAAGTCATTTACTCAGTTCTCTGTTGAGGTTTTTCTTCCCAGATAACCTCACATGTGTTGAGGGGAAAGTCAACTAGGACAGGTGGTAAGAGCTATGGGAAACCGTAAAGTGGATTGAAGCCGCCTTTCCTTGTGAATCTGGGAAGAAAGTGGGGTAGAAGGGATGGGGCTGGAGGAAAAGGCCTTTGAAACTAAGACCCTACCAACCATCTGGCCCAACTATGCTTTTGCTTTCTTGGTCTTTTAGGAGGACCCAGTGGCGGTGGATCTCATCTTAACCTCTCATTGTAATTTGCCCTAATAGCTTCCACCAGTTTAGCCAGAGCATCTTTGTTTTCCAAGTTAACCTGTGTGAAGGCATTTATGGTACATACTTTCCTGTGTACCAGCCACTTATCCTGGCTTTTCCCTTGTGGATGTTGTAGGGGAACCCCATCTTCAACACAGGGCAGGTAGGAAGACCAGTAGCTCAATGCGGCCTGCATCAATGGGCAATCACCACCAGCTGAGCCTTCTTGTTCTCTACCAAGGTCTACCAAGGTGGTGACTGTATTGAATCCCCCCCCCCCCAGAAGGACAGGTGGTCTCTGAGTTGATACATCCCCTTTGCCACAGCTTTCATCTCAGCATGAGCCATCAGCCTTGCTTCTCCTGCTTTGTCTGTGGCCTGTAGCTGTGGACAAACTTAACAGCTAAGTAACGATTTGCCAGTTCAAGGCCTGGGTGAACTGGTTAATGGCAGGAGATACTTTGAGCAGCTTAGAGAGGATGGCCCTTTGCCATTGCAGCCTCATGTAGTGGGGCCATTTGATGAAGCCTTTGAGATCTCTTTTGGGCCGGATGCCCCGCCCAGTACCAAAGTTCTTAGACTTTTTCTCAAACTAAAGATTCACCACTTTTTAGACCTCCTGTTTCTTCGTGACAGCAGGGGCTGGGACCACCTTCTTCCCCTTGGCCTTCTTTCCTTTGGGCATCTTGCTCAGCTGGAGGAGAGAGTCATCTGGCCTTTTTATATTACATTTCCCAACTAAAAGTTAATTCAGGACCACCACCTTTGGTTGTCTGGGTCACTTTAATGGTTCTTTCATCTTTTATTTATGTTTGTTGATGACGTAGGCAGCATTGTGCTGGAAATAAAGATAGGGAATTGTAATAAGGAAGTGAGAAGATGTTTAAGTACTAGAAGATAGATTTGCTTGGCTATTGACTTTAGAGACTCTGGTTTATCCCTTGGTCCAGATGCCTCAAAGAATAGGAAGCTATGGTTTTTTTTTTGTTTTTGTTTTTGTTTTTGCATTTTCTCCCCTGGAGTACTTAACTCCAAGTTACTGTGATTGTACAAAGAAAAAGTAGCCAACTGTGAGTGAGAACTGTTCCTGGAAAGTGGTTTTGCCTTAGTTTTGGTCAAGGATCTTGACTGAAGGCCCTGGCTGAGTCACCATTCCAGAGAATACCTCGCACCTGCAGGAACACAGATTGGGGCTGCCCTGAAGTGAACCACAGCAGCAGCAGGGCCATTCCTAGAATTTCGTTTACAGATATAGTTCTTCTGAACTGTAAAAAGCCCGTTGTATTCATAGCATTGTAATTGTTGTCTAATAATTTTTGGAGATTATTTAGGTAGGTAAATAATATAACAGCAAGAAGAATATAACAGCAAGAAGCTCTCTTCCCTGTTCCTTGTCTTTCTGGGGAGGGGAAAGGGGAAGTGTCCTCAGAGACACTCACTCCCCATTGGAAGGAGGCTCTTCCTGGATACAGGAAACATTCCCACAGGCCACCACAGGCAGGAGCTTTTTGAAGGAACAAGGAGCCCTTCAGATAGATAATATGATATTAAAATGTTCTTAAGTTGTGAAAGATTCATAAATCATTTTCTAATAGTTTCTATATTTTATATAGTTATTTATAATATCAGTTTGGGTGGCCTTTTGTGTGCATAAAATATTAAAGAAAATATTTGACCCTTTTCTTTGGGGGATATTGGATGTAGAACCCAGAGCCTTGCCCATTCAGGAGAACAACTCACTGCTGGGCTGTACTCTAAGTCTCTGTTCAACTCTTCAGTGTAAATGGAATAATCAACAATTAGTGGAATTGGATTATGTTTTTCTGTGTGTTAGGAAATAAACAGCCAAGAGAATCCGAGCATTGGGTATTGATGTTAAAGGGCAGAAGCCTTTCACTACACTTATGTATGATCAGGGTTATCTTCTGCATTCTCCGCGCTGTCAATGTAAACTGCTGATGACTTGTTTGAATTTTAGGAACAGCGACTTTTGATAGTCCTGAGCAATTGCTGCTATTTAGAACGTCACACCTTCCTAAACATAGCAGAGCATTTTGAAAAGCACAACTTCCAGGGAATAGAAAAAATAACACAGGTAAGTGCTTTGGTATTCAGTAGTCAAGTCCACTGCTTTTCCACACTATTTTCTCAGCACCTCCTGGGCTCCCCTTCGCTATGGTTCCTCAGGCCCCCATGTCCATTCTTCTTACCAGACCCATCCATCAGAGGAATGGTTTCCTTTCTTGCCTTGAATTGTTAATGTAACACTGCTTTTCTCTGGAGCAAAGCTTTCTCATGGTTGAAGTGGTTTGCTTAATCCTGTCAAAGTTGTTCAAAAGTCAGGCAAGACAATTAGGAGAGAGAAACAGCAAGCCTAAATCTTTCAGAGTCTTTCCATTTGACTCCTGTTGGGGTTAAGCCTTTAGGTACTGCTGACATCAACCCTGGTCCTGACTGCACAGAGACCTCTTCCTGCTAATCTAGCCTGTCCCTCCCCTCTTCATCTCCCTGGGAGTCAAGCCCTGCCTTTGCACACAGTACACATCCTGCTCCCTAGCCTCTGGCCTCTTCCTTCCTGGCTTAACCAGAACTCTTATATGCTTTGTGCTCCGCCTGCTGGATGTAGGCAAAGTGTGCAGTTCAGTGGAGCCGGTTTCGTGATTTAGAATGTTCACTCTCTTGTTTATAGTTTTTCAAATAAGCAGAAAAGGAAAAAATGAAGTACCTTGTTAACAAGATTGCTAGTTCCTGAGCAAAGTTTATCAGATTTCTAGGTAAAACTGAGCCAACTGTCTAATGCCAGGACACTTTTCTCAGCGAAGAAAACAAGAAAGATAACCATCTTATTAATCATGTCATCAGCGTTGACTCTCGGTGGACGATCTACTTTTTACAAATGATGCTTCCAGTTCATAAACTAGCTTGGGTTTTTTTTTTTTTTTTTTTTAAAGAATGAAAATGTCAGAGTGGGTGGCTCTGTCTTGTTTTCCTGCCTTTTCGTAAAGATTAATCATCCTGCTGATAAGTGCTGTGACTTAGGCTTGGGGGCCAAATGTCTAGTTTAGTTCCAGAAATTTTTTATGTTCATAATTGCAAGATCTGTGGAAAGTAGGCACTCTATCTTTATTCAATATGCAGAACTTTATCATTAAAGTGTGAGAAGTGATCAAGAGTTGCATAGGTTAGAAGCAGAGTTTGATTCTCTGTTTTTGTGAAGTAATAAGCAGAAATTATGTTGCCTCTGTTTACACTATTAAGAAGCAGAGCAAAACTGACATAAAGCATGGTTTTCGGTATCTTTTCCTGTCTTTGTCTAAATCACAGAAGAAGATAATATGAGAACTTGGGAACAGCTTAGAATAAGCAACAGGCTTTTTATCCACTTTAGCATTCTATTTTTAAAAATTATTTCTTGAATGTCTTGAAATTATTCAGTTGTGGCTGAAATGAATAAAGTGGTTTGGGCCACAGCGCACCTGCCTACAGTGCTGTGTGCCGAAGCTCTTATTCCCATGCAGTCAAACGAGTAAAACCCACTTGCTCTGAAGGAAGAAAGCTCCCTCGCAGCCCTGATTTTTCACAGTTCCTTTTCCAATGACATAACTCTAGATGTCTGCCAAGAAAATCATAGGGCAGGCAGGTCACGATGGACAGCTGTCTCTCCTGTTTCTGTGTTTACTCCAGCTGCTATGCTCTTTTGGAGGCGCCTCCCTCCCTCCCTCCCTCCCTCCCTCCCTCCCTCCCTTCCTCCCTCCCTCCCTCCCTCTCTCTCTCTCTCTGTCACTGGGTGCCAGGCCTCTCTCCGTTCCTCCTATGAGATGTGCTGCCTGGCTGGCAGGGCAGGGAAGCTCTCCCACCCCTTCCTCCTCTCTCTTCCTCTTTCCTGCTGCCTTTCCTTTTCCCTTCCCATTTTCTTCCTTATTGGTACTCTGCCAGTAGAAGCCTAAAAACAACCATTTCTAAAATTCCTTTCATATTGTTTCTCGATTAATAATTATTTAATTATCTTGTTTCTTTTTAAAAATGTATTATGTTGCACATGTCATGGCATTCATGTGGAGGTCTCCTTCCACTGTATGGATCCCAGGGATTGAATTCCGGTCATCAGGCTTGGCAGCCAGCACCTTTTACCAACTATGTCATCTCTCTGGCCCTTCATTTTGTTTTTACCTTCAAAATAGAGTTGATTTAATATAAAAATAGCATATGCATTGCCATGTTTTTTAGGACTATTAAAATTTAATGATCAATTACATTTATGGGTAGGATGATTTTCACAGATACGATTGTATTTTAGGTCATTTTTCATATGTATGTGTTCATGTGTACAGGGTTGGGGGGAGGCTGTCTTTGTAGGCCAGAGGCCAACATCAGGGGTCTGCCTCTATTTTCTTCCTTATCTTTTGAGGCAGGCTTTCTCATTGAACCTAGACCTCACCAATTTGGCAAGGCTAGTTGGCCATGATGTCCTGGGTTATAGGTACACACCATTGTAGCTGAGAGTCAAGCATAGTTCCTCATGATTATACACAGAACACCAGCCAACCTAGCCATCTCCCTAGCCCCTCAATATGTAATTTTATTTAATGTAGAATCTCTGAGAAATAAGTGAGGATGATGTTTTAGTTCTGTGATTTTCATGGGGGCATAAGTGCAGAGCGTGTGAACTTCACTGGAATCTAGCAGGGACTTGAAAATTAGTCTTCGATTCCATGTCCTGAGCGCTTCCAGCCCCATATTATATACTAAGGCCGAGAATGGAACTGGTCTTATGATAGACCCCCAAGGAAATGAAAATAGGACACAAAGCTAATTGACTAATGTGACAATTTAACCTTGAGTGACACTGAGTGGTGGTCCATTAGATAAGAATATCAAAGTCCTCTTACCCTGTAAGGCTGCACCTTACAGCCTCCCTTGAGGAACACTCAGGCCTCTACCTTTTGGTCGCAGACAACGAGGGCTCTGTGTCTTCTCACCCATCTTTTTCTGTTTGTGAAAAGCCTAGCAAAATTTTTGAGGAGAAATAAAAGTAAGAATCATCTTTAATGTACTAAACAAAGTGTTTATTGTTATTCATAAGACAGAGTACTTCCAACGTGTCCAGTTGCCCCCCAACAGTAAACTTAACCCTTTCCTAATCACCTTCCCATACCTAGCAGATCCATATCACATCACTACCCCACCCCCAGTCAGCTCCCCTCACTGACTTCACATGGGACCCCAAGATTTGCAGGCTCCTGGTAATAGCCTGGTTGCTTTGGGGGCGATAGCTGCATTATGTTTTAATCATCATTTCCCAGCATAGTTCTTAATTTTCATTCGTAAAAATATCCATTAATGTGTTTTAATTTGCATGCCTTTTCTTTTTAGAAATGAATACTTTTCCATTTTTAATAACTATATGATAGAAGAGACAGCTGGGAAGTATCTAGAGACCAAGGGAGACAGAGAGCTTTGTTCTGAGGACAGAGACTAGGTGTGACACAGATCAAATTCCTCAGGAGTGTTTGAGAACATGAGAGCTACATGGCTGATAAGCCTAACATGTTACTTTATTGTGGCTGCTATACTGATGTAATTCTAGGGACTTTTTTTTTTTTTTTTTTTTTTTTTTTTTGCATCTGTTGCATGCTGCCTAGCTTGAATCGGTGTTAAGAAAAACATCTGATTTAGCATTTGTATAGTTACAGAGTCTCCCTGACTGGAGAATGCAGACATTGATCAAGTCTGGTATTAAATGTTCCTAACTTCAGAAACTCCACTCAGGAGGGTGAAGTGGGGGACAGTTTGTTTTCATCACAAATCCAGAGAAGAGCCTTTATATCCAGCCACCAATTTAAAGTATTTTCTATTTCTTGAGCCATATGTGCTATTATTACATAGTTTATTAGTTCATTATTTTTACATTAGTTCATTATTTTTAGTTTAATTGAGTATACTTGTTAGATATTTTCAATTTGTGTCCATTTGAATGTATTGATGGAAATGAATGCAGCTTTTTTTTCCTTCCTGTTGTATTATCTGTGTCTATGCTTGATTTAGCTTTCCCATTTCTTTATCAGAGTACCTTAAGTTTTGTTAAGAAACTATTTTTGTACAAGTTACTTGTAATTAATTCACCTTAGAGTTTAAGGTTCTATAGACAAGTAAGTTGAACAAATGTGTTCCCTCTTACCAAACACTGAGCAAATGTTTGATGCTCTTGAGCTGCCTCACATCCTTCCCTTTGTGGGAAAGGCAAAAAGATACAAACATGAGTAAATCCACAGTGGGGCTGCGGATGTGGCTCAGCAGGGAAGTAGGCTTGCTTGCCTACTGGTTCCATCCATGGTACCATGAAAAGAAGGAGGGAAGGAGGGACAGGAGGAGGGAGTGGACGTGAAAGGAGAGGAGAAAAGAAAGCTATCCATTAGTCAAGTCACGAGCCTACCATTGACAGCGTGCTTCCCAGTGCAGCCCTACCATTGACAGCGTGCTTCCCAGTGCAGCCTTTCGAAAAGCTTTTAGAAAAGGAGATGAAAGGTTCAGGCCCAGGTCGTGGTTTCAGAGGTCAGAGAGACTGGATTGCCTCCTGTGTCTTCAGAAAGCCATGAAGGGATAGGAACAAGAGAGTGCCATGGCTACTTCTCCAGGGTCGAGTGTGAGGGTCTCAGGTTAGAAACTTCCATCTGAGCAAGTGAAAGCACCTCTCTGACCATCTCCATCACACTTGTGTACTCTGACCATGACTTTTGCTTCCTTATCACCCTGGTACTGTTTCCTTTGGTGATGAGATCTGCCCACAGCTTTGTCCACCATTAATGCCAGTGATGCCCAAATGCTTGAACCTTGTACCTCCTCCCTAGACTTGATTGCCATTTCCTGCCACACACTCTTCACTAGACATTTCCAGTGGAATTTCAGAGCATCCCCAAGCCAAAGTCACCTTCCTTTTTCTTTCAATGTCTTTCCTGTTGTAGACAGTCACCATTGGGTCCGCCAGCTAGAACCTGTGAATTGTACCCTTTTCCTTATTAAATTATGTAGCTGTTTTAAATGGCAAATGCTAATTATGTATACTGTAGAGTACAGTGGTAATGTTTTGTTCTCTGT